GACGATCATGGCGGTACAGTATGTTGATCTCATTTCAGACATTAATGAGTGCTCTGAGAATACTCACAACTGAAGTAAGGGCAAAGCCACTTGTGCAAACACCGCAGGATCATTCATCTGCTCTTGTAAGCCTGGGTTCACTGGAGATGGGCACAACTGCTGAGCTAAAATCCTTAAAAGCATAATCTCATCTTCCAGAACAAGATTCACTGTTGCAGTTGTCTGCTCCCTAAGGGCGCTAACACACTGAAAAAAAACTTCAATCGACATGGCCTAGTTGTTGTTTATCGAATGATTTAATTATGCCGAAAAAGGCATAACGAGATCTAAAATTATCGCTACCTGACCGGTTTGTTTAGGGATCAGGGGTCCACCTGGCAATCTCAATCAGCAAGAATAATTTTTTCCCTCATCTTGTAAAACGCTGCTACTCTGCAGCTTTTCTTATAATTTTTGCTCGGATTAATGGTATCTTTTCATTCATTCATTCCTATAAAGTACTGTGCAAAACTGATGCAAACGGTTGTCGTCGTTTATCGCGCTTTATTCTTCCGATATAATGCCGATATATCGGCGATATATCGTTCATTTTCTTGACAGCTTAAGAACGATAAATCGTCGAGATATCGGAGCCTTCCTGCGACCCTCAAATCCACCAACCGTGATGGTTTCTAAAAAGTAAAAAAGTGTGGTATTTAGCCTATAAACACCTCAATTCTTACATTGCTACTAACAATGGAAGTTGTTGCAAGTATAAGACAAAACACTCACCAGTTAAGTGGGAATCGCTCAGTAGCCTCTCTAGGTCTAATATTGGCGTCATCTGACATTTCTCTGTCGGATACTGAGGGAAACTATTCGCAGGCCCGCTGGTCGGTGCTAAATTGGAAAATTTCTCGGTCTGATTTTGTAAAGGAAGACAAAGAGTAAACTGCTAGTGCTCCGTGTGTTCTGACTCCTCAGGCTCTATTGGGTAGCATTCAACAACAGCAGTGTGCTGTTTCTTCTGCCTCCCCCACATAACTGTTCTTTTTTTGTCCGGGTCTGATAGGGAACGGATCAGCTACGTCCGATCGAGACACCTCAGAGTACTGACTTCGGCTCCACTTTACTTGAACGAGTTTTTCTTCCATTATTTTTTCTATTTTGGTTCTATGTGCGATGGTGAAAACTGTTTATGTTAAATGAATTGAGCTTTCCCCTCTTATAGCAATCGAAGCCCGTAGATGGATCGAGATTTTTATCAGATGACCAGTTCCTACTTGGTGTTTTGTTCTCCATAACAATAGAGGCGTAGGCTTCTTGAGAGCTTTTCATATTCAAATTAACTACACGCGAGAGGATGTGAAAAAAAAAGGTGTGATAAAGTGACTTTGCTAGAGTTAACGGAACCGCGGGCTAATTTCAGTCCTCTGATTGTTATGTGAGTAGTCGGGTAATTTGAAAGTGCTAAAATTCTTGTTTTTTAGTTTAATGAAATATACACTCACGCTTTAGTTTTTGTGACACGTGCAAAGAATAAGCAAGGAATCAAGGAATATCAATGCCCGATTCTGTTAGACCCTAATTGACCATACTGTTTTTTGTGGAAGAGCGAGGTTCAACTAAAAAAAAAAGTAAACGTATTGATGGTATGACACAGGCATGAGTAGCCTATTGTTTATTGTTTAAGAGAGCGGGTCATAAAATTGCCAATATTCTTGTTGTTCTGTTTGTTAAATTTTTCAAAAATCTTAAGTTTTTGTAAGCGTAAAATAATGGGTACATAAAAGACGTAAATACATAAATTTAAATGTAAATACATAAATCGATCTTTAAAATTGCGTTACTGCTCCTTTCGCCTTCACTACCGCTGGGATGACTTTCTTAAGGACATGGTCGATGTACTTAGCGCATTTCTCTTCCGTCACCCTCTTAGCCCAAAACGCCTTTATTCCGTCAACCAGTTCTTGTTTGTTTTGCGGCTTCACTTTCGATTATAAGTAAAATTTAAGTTCGTGCCATAAGTTCTCGATGGGATTTCAATCCGGATTCTCTGGGGGAGTACGCCACCAGTTTATACCATTCTCCTCCAAGAAGGTCCTCACTCGTCATGACGTATGTTTGGGATCATTATCCTGCATAACTCTGTTGTCTGGTAGCGTCTGATTGATAAATAGTTAAAGGGTTGTCTCCAGAATACAGCAGTACAGTTCTGCATCCATTATACCAACGAATATGCACACTTTAGTAGCTCCCTCTCGGCTGATTCCTGCTCATACATGTACTTTAAGTGGATGTTTAGGCTTCGGTTTTCTTTTCAATGGCTCGTCGACCTTTCAGTAGCATGTACGTCTGTATTGTTACAGCGAGACTGAGCATTCATCAGAGAATATGAAATTATGGAATGTATCACCGGAATCCAGGATTTGTTGTGCATGGTCTAGTCTTTTCACCTTATTAGCTACTCTTATCAGTTGACAGTAGTGAGTGCGCTGCAGCGTCCATCCCTGTTTGGCTCGCGATCTTCGCAACGAGTTCACAACGATTCCACGCTCGGCCAGTTGTTTTTTAATCTGAATACTTGTTCCCTCATCGTTTATAGGCATTTGCTTTTCAATGAACGCGTTCGCATCTGCTGGAAGCTTTATACAGCCGTAACAGTCGTCCTCAGACATCATGACTATATCATGAAAGCAATAATCTTTTATCTTTATTGCTTAAACTTTTTACACGCTATAAAATTAATCTGGCTATGATATGCAATTTCCAGGCCTGATAAAAGCGGTAACAACATAAGTAAAAAAATAAGATAATTTCTTACGTGTGTTTCAAATCGGCAAACAGCTGCTTTCACGTTACTCACCTTTCTCGCCACTCCTTCAGGTTGATGAATGAATGGCAAAGCCTTTACCATCAATCAAGTTCGTTTGCCGAAATATTCTCGGATTATGGCTGTTAAAAAGTTGAAAAAATCCCTGTCGCTTACAAACAGTGACGTTCAAAATTTCCTGTAGGATGGAGAAGATACCAAAGGAAAGCGAAAGTTAGATACTCAGTGGCTTTGTTAATGGCTTTTTTTCGCGGCTGAGAAACAAAAATCGACAACTAGAAGATTTGCCACAGGCGATTTTGGCCGTGTACCTGGAAATGTTTCTTCTGTTGGTAAGGAAGAAGTTCATGACTGAGAATTTTTGTTAATTAAAAGTTACGCTCATCTTGAGTCTTATCGCCAACACACTGCACGACTGAAAAGCTTATTTCGCCGTTTGAATGAGCCGCGTGCTAATTTTCTTTCAAAACGATTATCATTCAGCATATTTGAACTCCATAAGGTCTATCTCAATCAAGATGAGACGGAAAAACAATCTTGAAATATTTGACACCTGGCAGCTAAACTCGACGGGAACTTGTAGTTAAAGAGAAACTGCACACATCATGTTTTGTATGCACGGCCGTAGGTACGTGGAGATTTACGCCAAAGTAGCTAGATAGGAATTAGGTGGTCCTTACGCACGCGCGCTATGTTATGATAAAAATTACTTACTTTAGAACATATTTTACCACATCAATTACTACGTAGAATCTGTTGTAAACCCTAGTAATATTTGCTAGGTTACTCGACTGTTTATTGATGGTTAAAGGTACTTCAATTGTTGAAAAACGTTCTCTCTTAGCATTGAAGTATCCCGTATTGTAGTTTCAGGGGATGGCTTGTGCTGTGGCCTTGGCTAATTTGATGCACTGAAAATCCTTTATTATGGAGTCTCCAATGATAACTGAAGTACGCTCGTCAATTTTTCTTTAAGACTCGCTGTTTTCGTCTGGCTGGCTTTGCTTGTCGGCATTTCTTTTTTGTGATCATTGTTGCTATATAGTGTTCCGAGAACACAATATAATTTGATGAAGCCAGCTGAGATTTTGGGATAGCACTCCGAAGCGTGTAAATAACTCGCATGACGTTTTCCAACACCTACGCGCCTTTATCTCATTAAACCCGAAAAATCGAGTTTTCAAGCTTTGGCCTTCAGCCATCGCATGGCGGAACTTTAACAACAAATTAGGAAATTAGAAAAAGCGTAAAATTCCCATGAGTATTTGTTTTCAAACTCCATAGTCAATCTTCGTGTATCATTATACATGGCGTAATTTGAGAGTAGTATACGCATATCTTTGTGGTATGTCAGAGAGGTCAGTAGGGGCTATAGCCACGTCCTTTGAACGTCATTGATAGTTTATGCTCGGGGATTTATGTTACTTCCCCGATAATTTTATGTTGGATTCAAACCCTCAATTTTTTTTTTCCGTAATAGAGTGTGAGACCGGAACAATCGTTGTTTAGAAATGACTGACACATTTTATGTATGCTTTCTATTTGACTTCTCACGTCATGAACTGTGCAAAGAAGCAATAATTTTGACATGGGTTCAATATCAAATATCGGAGATCTGATCACCTTGCAGGTCACGAACCGGCGGAGGGAGGGAGGGGGAGAGGGAGAGGGAGAGGGGGTTGGATGGTGTGAAGCCCGTGACCTCAATTGATGCCGGAATCTGGTGGCGTAGGGGCATCGCGTGTGGAAACTTTCAAAAAGTGCAAAATGAAAAATTCCCTCTTTTCAGTAAGTGAAGTATCCCATCAATTAAGTAAAGGTAGATTTTGTTCACACACAAAAAATTTGGTGGGGAAACGGGCCAAAAAAAAAAACCACGCTAAAACAGATCTTTGGTGTCATTCAGCTTTCCAAGCCATCTTCACAAACCTTGGCGCTGTAGGAAGAGAGGGTCCAAAATCATTGGGCAGCTATTACGCTGGTCAGGATCAGGATGGACAAGTTACACTGTCCAAGGGTATTCAACTGTGGACTGTGCCATACACTGGTAAATACAGAATAGAAACAATAGGAGCAGCAGGAGGGTACCATCCATTTGCCACTGGCAGTCCTCAGTACCGAGGAAGAGGAACAATAATGATAGGAACATTTGAATTAAACAAGGGAGATGCCATTCAAATACTTGTTGGTCAAGAGGGAGGGATTGGTGGAGGTCGTAATGGTCCAGGGGGCGGTGGAGGTACTTTCGTGGTGAAGAAGGACCGAACGCCTT